GTCTGTCCTTAGGGGTTGTTTCAAATCTCTATGTCTATTTCAGCTATCAGAGCAATGTGCCATCATGGTTACAGCTGCTGCAAAATGTGCCTGGCTGCAAATTTGCCAACATGCTAACTTTTAATCTATGCTGCTAGCAAAAGCTTTAAATGCAAAAGCCACCAAGTCCTGGCTGTTCCAGCAGGCTGGGGGGAGCTGAGAAGCATCTACCTCCACAGAAATTGTGAATGTTGGTTCTGTTTTTAATATGTTGTCTTTGTCTCATTCCCCCCCTTTCCCTTGTCTTTTGTGAGCCGCCCGGAGTCCTCCGGGAGTGGGCGGCATACAAGACAAATAAATAAAATAAATAATAAAATAAAATAAATATTTCCAGGCTGAATCTCTCCTTGGTCAGTTTCCATCCATTATTCCTTGTCTGGCCTTCAGGGGCTTTGGAAAATAGCTTGATCCCCTCCTCTCTGTGGCAGCCCCTCAACTATTGGAAGACTGTTATCATGTCTCTCCTGGTCCTTCTCTTCACTAGACTAGCCATGCCCAGTTCCTGCAACCGTTCATCGCATGTTTTAGCCTCCAGTCCCCTAATTATCTTTGTGGCTCTTCCCTGCACACTTTCTAGAGCCGGGATGGCGAACCTATGGCATGCGTGCCACAGGTGGCACACGGAGCCATTTGTCAGGGCATGTGAGGCGTTGTCCGGTCAGCTGGCCAAGGCGCACACGTGCGCTAGCCAGCTGAGTTAAGCCTTTTTTAAAGCCATTTTTTGCCCTCCCCAGGCTCCAGAGGCTTTATAGGAGCATGGGGAGGGCGAAAAGAGTCCCCCCCTGGAGGCCCTCCGGAGGCTTCAGGAGCTCTCCTGAAGCCTCCAGAGCCCAAAAACCTGGCCCTATGGGCAAACCGTAAGTTCGTGAATAGACTTCCGGTTTGCTCGTAGGGTCGGTTTAAGCCCTCTGGAGGCTTCAGGGACCTTCAGGAGCTTCCCTGAAGCCTCCGGAGAGCTTAAACTGGTTGTACAAGCAAACCACTTCCGGTTTGCTCTTAGGGTCGTTTTTAGTCTTCCGGAGGCTTCAAGGAAGCCTCTTGAAGGTCCCTGAAGCCTCTGGAGGGCCTCCGGGGGGCTTTTTTCAACCTGCCCAGGCTCCTATAAAGCCTCTGGAGCCTGGGGAGGGTGAAAAAAGCATGCAAAAAATGGGGGAGGAGTGCCTCTCATGCCTGCATGCACAATGAAGGGGGTTGCACGTTGCATTATGGGTGCGGAACACCTGTGCACGATCCCCCTGCGCTCTCTCCCCCTTATGGCACGTGAGCCAAAAAAGGTTCACCATCGCTGTTCTAGAGTGTCATTGTCTGTTTTGTATCGTGGTGACCAGAACAGCGTGCAGCATTCCAAGCAGAGCATCACTTTTAAGTGCAGAGCAGCACTTTAAAAATGATAAGCTGTCCTATGGAATTATGGAATTATACCCAGAAAGTTGGCTATTGACCACTGTAGCTCTCAAAAGTAGCAGTGTTATGTGGTTGCAACAAGGAGCACCATGCTTATTCAGCCATCTGTATTCTAGACAGTTCTCATTTCTGAACGCCCTTCAAAGGTAGCCCCATGTAGAATGCATTGTAACAGTCCAACCTACCATGGTTCCCCCAAAATAAGACAGGGTCTTATTTTCTTTTGACCCCCGAAATATGAGCTTATATTCGGGGAGGTCTAATTATATATTTTGAGGTGCAGGGGGCAGAAAGCGTGATCACCTCATGGCTGCTGCTGTGTTGCAATATTTTTGGGGAGGACTTATTTTAGCACACGTGCTCAAAAGACTGATTGGGCTTATTATCCTGGGAGATCTTATTTTCTGGGAAACAGGGTAGAGTAAGGCACAAATGACTGCAAACAAAGCTCCCCGATCCAGAAGATGTTTCAGCTCTTTAAATATAAATATTTAAAGCTACTTTCCTGAACCACATCCACTCAAGATTGCTGAGGGCCGCAAAACAATAATTCAGTGCAGGCGAAAAGGAGAGAAAGAAGGGAGTGCTATTTAACACCAGCTTTTGTTCCTGATGCAGGGCAAGATAAAGAAATAACCAAATGTCAACTCAATATTAATGCTTACCTAGAAGGATGTCTATCAAGCACATTTTCCTGATCTAGCAATTCTAGAGGAATTAGACTGCAACTCCTATAATTCAATGTCTTTCTAGGATAATTATATACACAAGATGCCAAGTTGCATAAGTTGACAAGATTCCAATTTCCTAACAGATAATATACTTTTTAATACATGCTAACTATAAGCTTCGCCTCTAAAAACTAACCACATTATATGCAGAGGTAGTATTCAGCCGGTTCGGACCGGACCAATTTGCCTGAACTGGTAGCGCTGAACTGACCTGCCCACCCACCCCTGCTCTGAAATGTCCTATGTAGCCTTCTTTTTGACACCGCGCACATGCATGCAGGCTGCCCACGTGAGCAAAGCACATACATGGAGGAGTTCACACATGCGTAGAAGGCGCATGCGCGATATGAGTGTGCACACATACGTGGCACGACAAAACCGCGCTCGACTAAAGCGCGCCCGATTAAACCACGTCGCTGACGTCATCAATAGGGCGACAACAGCGCGGAGACAGAAGCACGCTGTAAATGCTAAACCTAAAATTAACCCCTAAACCTAAACCTAACCCACCTAAACCTAACCCCCCTAAACCTAATCCTAAACCTAACCCTAAACCTAACCCTTAACCTAACCCTAACCCTAACCCTAACCCTTAACCTAACCCTAAACCTAATCCTAACCCTAACCCTAACCCTAACCTTTAACCTAACCCTAACCCTAAACCTAACCCTAACCCTTAACCTAACCCTAAACCTAATCCTAACCCTTAACCTAACCCTAAACCTAATCCTAACCCT